AATAAACTAATGAAAATAATTGAACTATAGAAATTAGCTTCAGTTTTATTAAATCAAGCTAAAATTATTTTAATAATAAAGCAATCAATAAATAAAAAAAAATATGCAAAGATAATTAAAAATAATTTATTTATTTTTAATATATCACAAGAATATACGTTGTTTTTTTTGGGATTTTCCCCCAATTAAAAAGTACGAAGGCAATTTACAGTTATGCTATTTCTTTAAAGTGAGCTTTAATCTTTTTATTATTTAATTATTATTATTTTGATTATTTATACTAAGCAATTGTAGCTCAAGACAAGTAAATATCGAGGAAAAGGCAGAATTAAGAATTAAAATCATATTTAAAATATTTAAAATCTATTCATATCGAAATTTCATATCCTTGTCCGAATGAAAGAAGAGTTAACAGCTTGATAAGAATTTGAAATAGATACTCTTTCTGTTATATTTTTACCAACTGCAGCAGAATTGAGGCATGCCCCGAATCGGATGATACCCTTACAGCGACGCCCACGAATAGCGCAAATCAAAATAATGAGAAGGGCGTGTGCCCCGAGAGTTAGGAACTGGAAACTGAGAATGGTTTCGGTTTTGATGACTGCTGCCGAGTGTTCCTTTTTTTTTTCATCTATCTTTTTTCTTTTTTTTTTTTTTTTTGGGGGGCCGTTAAAAGGCACAACGAAGTCGTCGCCGGTTGCAGATTAAAAACAATTTCTGGCACTGCTAGCATCTCAATTTGCAGGCTTCCTATGGCAATTCGTGTATTCCCATTCCCGGGCCGGGGCCCGGCGACAGTCGCAGGCCGCAATGCACTCGACGAAGCCTCATAAATACCGAATTAGTTGGTAATTCTATAAGCAACACGCGCCCATTGATGGATTGGCTGCCAGTTGCTGTTGTTGGTTGCTTGCCACGGCTGCGTGTGCCCCACCTCCCTCTCCAACTGCGCCGTGGACGTGGGCGCGGGCGCGTGCTAGATAAATAAAAAGGCACGAGCGGCAAATTGTATCTGTGAGATGCCACGTAAATAGATTCGCATTGGCAGATTGCCGTTGCTGCGATAGCTCGATTGCCCGCTGTCGATTTGTGGCGCGTGGCACGCAAGGCCGCCGCAGGGAGTCGCCACAATTAGCCGCAAATGGCAAATGAATTTTCATTTTTAATTATCATAATTAATAGAAAGATGAAAGCTGACCAAAAAGGCCAAAGGAATTTTATGTCTATCAAGACAATTTCCAGCCAGGGATTAGACACGCACACACACGCACGCACACACACACGCACACACACACACACACACACACACACATTGCAGTCAGTTCATTAAAATCGCAAAAATATTATAAAAATAAAAGAGAACAAAAAACATGCGACGCGAGGCGTGGCATTTGTGTGACTGCGACTCTTTATGAGCTGAATTAATGGTTTATGATGATGATGGCCGCCGGATTCGCTGACATTGCCGAAAAGCGCGGCTCGCCCAGCCTCACAGCGCTTGGGTCCAGTTGATGTTCGAGCGGTCGCGCGGCTGCGGGAGGGTTACGTGGAAGGGGCAGGATAGGGAACAGGAATAGGGGATGTGAGCTCGGACTGGATCAAGCGTCGTTCCACTGTTCGTACGATCAAAAGATTTGTCTTCTTTTTTAAATTCAAGAAAACCGCCTCCAATTTAACTGGAAAATATATTCTAAAGCGCGTGCCCATGAATTCGTTTAACATGCAATGCGTATGCTCAGGAGATACAGATACTGTTTCTAAGCTAGCAATTGATATGGACAGCAAAAAATTGACTAATTACATTGCAGAGAAGAGGAATGTAAAATGCAGAAGCAGCTTTTTCAGGGCTGCAAGTCGAGTAGAAATTGACGTTGGTTCGGTTTACGGTTCGAAGTTCTACATTTCGATATGAATCAAAGAACTGGATATGTGAATGATAAAATACGCATAGAGGAAAACATGTTTAGATCTTCGGTAATATATATAATGTTATAGATCTAGGTAGCTTTGGAAAAATAATAATGTTGGCTTGAGCCAAGGCGTCAATTACTTGGATACAATTACAATTGGTAGGCATTTTCTTTAGGGATATGTTTCCAGACACTTTTCATGTGCAATATCAGCTAAGCCAAGGAAAGAACGAAATCGGAACCAGCTGGATGGAGTTCATAATTTTAGTTATTGTCCCAAATGTTAATTATTTTCAGAGATCTGAGCGAAAAGTTTCGATTAGTAAACAATTATGCTCAATTATCTGAATTTAATCTGAGTTATTCTAAAAAGCTCTTTCTTTCTGAATCCAGCTAAGGAACTTGTTATTGTTGGGAGAAAATTCAAATTATTTATACATATTAGTTTATAATCATATTAAGTGATTTTTACCCACTGTTGTTATAAATAAAAAAAAAAAAAAAGAATTGGATGTTGTTTTTATATATATATATTATTCATCTGATCATATTTTTGTGAACTTTTTACAATTATTTTAGTTTATAATTAAAAAAAAGAATTAACCAGTTTGCTTAAATATTAGCACATATATATATGTATGTATATATATATACATATAAACATACATATCTATACATATATTTATACATATACATATATGCATGCATATGTATTGCTGTGTGTCGTATGTATACATACATATATATATGCACTTGAATGTGTCTATACATACACATATATATGCATATAGCATATACATAATTATACCCACTTAAGTATTATTAACTAATTTTTCATGATTTTCCATTTTGTTTTTCGACTTTGCTTAATATTTAGTTCAAAAAAAAATGCACTTATATTTAATTAGTTTCTAAATGTTTTTGTTGTTTCTATTTATAGCGCAATATCGTTCAAGTGTGTGTATGTGTGTTGTTTGTTTGTGTGTGTTTGTGTGTGTGTGTGTGTGTGTGTGTGTGTGAGTGTGCATGTATTTGTTTATGCACGTGTGTGTGTGTGTGTGTGTTTTTCAAACAAAATAGATACGCTTAAATTACAATTAAATTGAACTTAGAACTAAACAAAAAAATTAAATTAATACAAAAAAAAAATTGTCTCTAATCGTGTATATGTTTCGGTTGTATGTATATATGTATGTGTGTATGTATGTGTGAGTCAGAAACTGTTTTAAATATATTTTATTTAAATTTTATAAACGATTTTGTTTTTTTGTTTTGTTTTTTTTTTCCTTTTAGCATACTGTATCATGAACATATACACACACATATATAAAATATATATATATACATATGTGCATACAATATATATGTACATACACATATACATATACATATATATATGCAACGTCTTATACTATATATATATATATATATATATATAGGTTTTTTTTGTAGTTTTTTCAAAAGATTTTCGACTTTAAGTTATATTTTTTTTTGTTTATAGTTTTGTACATGTTTAAAATGATTTATTATTATAAATATTTTTTTTGCGTTTGCTTCGTTTTGGGTTGTGGCATGTTTTTTATATATATATGCATATATATATATCCATATATATAAGTGCATATACAAATACATATAGACATATGTACATATATTTGTATATATACATATATATATACATAATATTAAAATAAAATTCACTATATAATATATATGTGTTATATAGTTACCGTTATTCCGATTTAGTTGCTTAACTTCTAATACTTTTGCTTTGCTTTGAAAGTCTGAAATGTGAATTCATTTAAAGGGTGTGTGTTCGATTTTGTTTCGTTTATAATAATATTCACTATACATGTATAAATATATATATATATATATATATATGTATATATATATATATAAATATGTGTTATATAAAGACGACATGAAATGATGCTTTGAACTTTTTAACTTGATGTCACAATGAAATGCATTTCAGTATATATATATATATTATATATTTCATTTTCTTCGATAATTAGTTTAATTTTTTTTTGTTTTTTTTTTTCCTTTGTTTTTGTTAGCTATGAAATAATGTTTTTGTTTTAAGAACAGTGAATTAGTTTAGTTTTGATACATATACATACATATATGTATATATATATATATATATATATATTAAAACTTGTGTTTTTCTTGCTATTTATGATATGAAAAGCTGGCTACGTGGGGCTGTCGCAAGGTTTTCTACACAAAGAAAATATTTAAAAAAAGAATGGAAAATGAAGTTGAAACATATTTTCAGAGTTTACCCCAGCCAAGGAGCCAGCATATATTGGCAGAACCACGCCCTCGTCCTTGCCCCCTTCCGCGAAATTGTCTATAAATATTGCAACTTCTTTCGATTTCGCTCACTTAGAAATTATCGCATATCAACTACGAGTTTCAACAAATCTTTGTTAAATGTTTTAATTTTTTTTTTTTGTTTTCTTTTGCTTTTTGTTTTTCGTTTTTACTTAGTTTATCACTCATTTACTTCGTTGATCCTGGCGGCTTAAGTTATTATGTATATATACACACACACATATATATATATATATAAATAATATACATACATATACATATATGTACTGAGTGCATCAATTTAACACACACACATAGTAATATTTTAATGCATAAGTGTAAAAAAAAAAATATTATTAACTATATCAAAAAAAAAAAAAAAAGAAAATATATGTATGTATATATAAATTTGTTTAAATTTGTCCCTCATAGTTGTATATATGAGAGAATGCAGCGCCCGTTTTTGGAGTGGGAGAGAGAGTGGGGTGGAGGGAGGGAGGGAGAGAAGAAGATATGTATATGAGGAATCAACTAGCCATAGGCGGCATGCTCATGCTCATGCTCATGCTCCTGTGCCATATCCTGATGCTGATCCTGCTGCTGCTGCTGTTGCTGCTGCTGCTGCTCCTGCTGCTCCTGCTGATGCTGCTGTTGCTGCTGGTAAGGCTGCAGCTGCAACTGGGGCTGTGGCTGTGGCGAGCGTCCGCTGCTGGCGCTGCTGCCGCCACTGCCGCCGGAGCTGCTGCAGTACTGGAACAGCAGATTCTACACCATGTTCGCATACTTATCCTGCGGCGACATGTAGTCGAGGCTATTCTGGGAGAAGGCCTGCGCCGAAACGGTGCCCGTGAACGATGGCGACGGCGACAGGCCAAAGTTGGAGGCCGTGTAGCCAGAGTGGCCCATATTGTAGTTAACCTGGTTCTGATTGCTAAAGTACTCCATCTGGGAGTAGTAGCTGGGCGCCTGGGCATAGTTGTTCGGATATTGCTGGTACTGGTTGTGCCAGAAGTTGTACGAGTCGTGGTTCGACATGTACGCCGAGTGGGCCGAATGGTGCGCCGATGCCGACTGCGCGGACTGTGCGGCATGCGCCGCTGCCGCCGCCGACTGTGGCGACATGGGCGTTATGGGCGGAGAGGGCGTCGTAATGCTGCTGCTGCTATCCATGGGCGTTATATTGCCGCCCGGCTGCAGCAGCCGCGGATTGCTGGCCGCTGCCGTGCCATAGATGCTGTGATGATGATGCGCACCGGCACCAATATCGCCGCCCGCATCCTTAAGCGTGTCGTAGGGCGAGCGCAGTGCATCGCCGGAAACGCCCACGCCCACACCGACGCCAACGCCGACGCCGATGCCAACGCCGGAGCCATTGCCGCCCACGCCTCCGCTGCCATAGCCGCCGCCCAAATGCTCCTTCTTGCACACAATGCTAACCGGACTGACCGATGTGGCCGGCGTCGGCAACAGCGGCGAGGAGTTCTGATGCGCTGCGGTTACGTTCAATGCCGCCGCCGCGGCCGCTGCCGAGATGTGGGCATGCGAGCTGCCAGCACCGCCCCCGCCGCCGCCTCCTCCGCCGTGGCTGCCGCTGCTGCTGCTGGGCGTTGAGCCACCGCCGTTGTTATTATTGTTATTATTGGCACCACCGGCGCCAGCGTTGAGGAAGGAACTGTGATGTGACTTGATGGACTGCGCCGCCGCAACGGCTGCGGCGCTGGCAGCGGCTGCTGCCGAGCTGCTTGGGTTGCCGCTGCCGTTGCTGGAGCCGCTTTGGCCGGCTCCACTCTGCTTCTGGTTCGATTTGTTGCCGCTGTTGTTGTTGCTGTTGTTGTTGCTGCTGGAGCTGTTGTTGTTGTTGCTGCTGCTGTTGTTATTATTGTTGTTGCGTCCACCATTGGCGGAGCTGTTGCAGCTGCCGCTGCCGCCGCTGGTGTTCTTCGAGCTGCTCAAACTGTTTGACTGCTGCTGCTGTTGCAGCTGCTGGCGGCACTTGGCCCGTCGATTCTTGAACCACACCTGCAACAGACAAAACAAAAACAATATTCATATATTATAAATAAATACTATGATATTATATTTAATTCAATGATAATTGAACAAACTTCCAGTTATGGATTATCTTGAAATGTAATCCGTCTAAGCAATAAGGCATTTCCCCAATAAGCTCTCAAGTATATTAGTATTAGTATTAGTATTAGTATTGGTATTATAATTAGAATTAGTATTAGGATGACAGCCCCCGTACATCCCACATATCTGACCTATACGAGCTTGTTTCTCACGGCAACTGCGCTGATTAAACTTGATGCAGATATGTTTCCTTCTTATATATGGTATATACCATCATATCTGGACAGTTTTTGCTGCTAAATTCTCCGTTGAAGGATATTTAATAATGCATACCAATTTGGCGCCTTAGTCGCTTATAAGACTTTATTCAATCGAGGCTTTAACATATATATATATAAGCTCTATGTCATATACGATCGGACTATTTGGTTTTTATTATTATAGAAATTGATAGCTTACTTTATGGATTACTTAGACTACTTTGTTCTGTGGCCCTTCATTCATAAATATGTGTATACACATATTCCAGCTAATCTTTTAAATCGAAATGTCGAAAATCAATCGACAAACGAGAATAAGATTTAGCTCCTCTCTTTGTTCCCCTTACATATCTATCTCAACTTATCGAGCACAAATTAAATTGAAATTTCGAACGACTGTTTCTAAGAATCAATTACTTTACTCTCTGATTAGAGGTATAAGCCTCATTATAATTTATTATATAGGAGGACATATTATTAAGTTGTCATCATCGAACTCCTACAGCCCTTGAGCACCGTAATAGACTTTATAAGTTTTCATTTCGCTATCTAATCGATCGAATTTGTATCTAATATAAACATAAGTATTTAACTGTTAGCGGATCTTGTTTCTAATAGTCCTGCTAGTTGTTTACACTTGAATCAATAATCAATAGGTTTGTGGTTCTGTTTGAACTAAGTTAAAAATATTTTTTAAGCTTTCGCATGAATATGGCAACAAAAATCGATACCTCAAGTATCAAATTGTCACGTGTAAGGCGACAAGTATTTGTTTAGTCAAGTGTGTGCGTGTCTCTCTCTCTCTCTCTCTCTCTCTCTCTCTCTCTCTCTCGGTTGTGGCTGCCAGCGGCTGCAATTTTCCCACATCAATTAGTTTTCTGGGCTGGCAATGAATAAATTATACGAGGGGCGCCGAGGGGGAGTGACAGACAGACGCACAACTCAAAACAACAAGTGCAAAAAGTCACGCGCTGCGCCGCCGGGCCCAAAAAGGAAGGAAAAAGTTACATCAACAGCCGACGGCGACGACGGCGACGACGGTCGAGAGTCCGAAAATTGACTCGATTATGTTTGTACGTCCGCCCCTTTTTTAGCTGGCTCCCCGCCCACGGAAGCAACCACATGCCGCCGCCCGAAGACAACAATAAACAGCCCATAAAGCGGCACATTCGAGCGCAAGGAATTCACTTAGCCTTGTTTGTTATGCTTAAGGGGCTGCAAACAATCCGCTAAGTGCAGGCATCGCAACCGAAGCAGTACCCAACCTCAGGCCCAACCCCAAGATCAACTCAATCCCCCCTCAACACTCTGCACCCTCCACCCTCCATCATCTCCCAGTCATGCCTCGGAAATGTTGTTTCAGTGATTTGTTGTTTGGGGTTGGTGTTGCTTGCTAATGGCTTGTGCTTTGGTAAACAGCAGAATTTATTACCGTACCGACATAACCACTGCCCCACACCCCCCTGCTGCACCCCAGCACCACAGCACCACAGCACTACCGCATCCACGCATCCACCCACGCCCCGCAAAAGAGCTTGATGGCATATTTCCCAAAGTTAACACTTGCCACGCGGCGGCTGTGGCCACTCGAGCGTTTCATTGCAGTCGTAACGCAACATGGATGGGCGTCTGTAAAGGAGGACAGGGGGGGGGGGGGGGGGGGGGGGTTGAGAGCTTTGCCCTGATTCTGCTTGAAAGGGGCGTGTTGCGAGCTACGCACTTGACGAAAAATGAGCATTAAACAAGGCGTATCAAATTTCATTATTTGTCAGCACCACACAGGGCCACCCCACGCGTCCCCCTCATCCGCCCGCACAGCTCAGCTTGCCCCTGCTTGAAATTCAATTTCAATTTCCAATTGAATTTTGCATTTTGGAAAATCTGCTTTGTGATTTGACTTTGACGTACATTACATAGTATTTCTTTCTTCTTTCCCATCTACTTTTTTAATTTTTTATTTTTTTTTTTTTTGGTTTCGGTATTCTCCTTTGAAATCGTTTAATGAGCTGCATCAATTTTATAATATGTATTGGGCCTGGGAATTTTTCCAAGTTTTAGCAAAAAATTAAAGGCAAATGCAAAAAGAGTCGAAGTGAATTTTAAAAACGAAATCTTAAACGCAAAAGATTCGATTGTGGCTCTAATGAAGTTTGGCCAACATCAAAGCAATTCTCATTTTCTCTCTGCGGTGAATCCACAATTATAATGTTAATGAAGATGATTTTAATAGCTTGATTTTCATTGATGTTGATTTCAGCGCATCTGAAACGAGCCCCTGAATAGCAGCAATTGAGACTTGTTCGAGTGGATAATGCGACAGTTGATACACAAACGCTATAGCTCTGATAACTGGCAGCGAATACGTCGTTAAGTAAGAGCTATTTGTTATATCTTTCATAAAAGCCAAGCTCCAAGTGCAGATCTTGCTATATAAGTATTTTATATCTGGTCTTGTTGATTTCCAGTTCTTAACTCAATTTTCACTTTCCCTATCTTATTATATAACTGAGTCAATTTTTCGCATTAACCAATGCAAAATTATGCACGACTTTGCATAATAAATAAATCAATGCCCACTCGTAGAATTCAATTCTGTTCATTTCTTTTTTTTCTTTTAACCTTTAGATGCAGATCTCAAAGGAATATGAGTATGTATTATGTGCGGGCTATGGAGGAGAGAAAAGCGACTGAAAATGTTAATCCGCAATGGGAAAATTAATTTTATAAAACAGCTGTGTGCGTTACACACACATACACACACACACACGCACACACAACGACGGACTCACACCCATGGCAAACTTTTCGAGTCGTCCTGTGCCACATCCTGTGCCCGTTGCATTGCGCTATCATGCGGCAGCGGCAGTGACAACGAGACAAATCCTTTTATAACAGCGAACAACAGCAACAACAACAGCAAGACGAAGAAGAAGAGAAAGCGAGCAGGAAAAATGAAAGAGGGGGAAAATGGGAAACTGCCTAGCAAAGAGTTACGAGTTACGTCTGGGATCGGGTCACGATTTTGACTATTCGGTGCTGGGTAATCCCCTCGCACGCTCTCTCTCTCCCTCTCCCTCTCACGCTCTCGACTAGGTGCCTGGATCAGCTAAAATGGCTGCCTTTTGTTGTTGTTGTTGTTGCTGCTGCTGCTGCTGCTGTCAAGCAACCGCGAAACTCCGTCGGCTGCTGCTTCAACCCCCGACGGCGAAAAATCGAACAGCTGAAACGGAGGTGACAATGGCCATGGCTGTGAAGGGGGTGCGGGGGTAGGCAAGCAAGCTTCTGCTTGTGATTTATGATTGCGATGGCAGCCCTCAGCGACCGCTCACTCCGCACTCCGCACCCTGCACGCCCTTGCCCTGTGCGCAGCGGCGAATGAAAACATTAGGGCGTAAATGTTTGCTCTGTTCTGGTGCAGATAAGCTGCGTAAAATTATTACGTTATTTGTATTGGTTGCAATCAGACGTTCACCCCGCACCCCGTATCACCACTCGACCCACCCCCTCGGGCGACTACTGTGCGGTGCCATAAAGATGCCTATCATTCAATTAATATTTGCCAGGGCAAATGCGGCATAGTCGTTAATTTTTGCCATTTGTGAAAAATTATTATTTATGTGCGACGCCTCGACGTGGGCCGCTTCTGGTTGTGCCTCCGACTGTGCCGCTCACTGTGGTAGGTGGAGCCATGGTGTGGGCCAAGCCAAGTCGTGGCCACTGCCTCAAGCCAACTAGTTTTGCCCGACAGCCTGGCCTGGCCTGCTAATTGAGTTGCTTGGCTTCCCTGGGCTTCCAGACAGTTGCATGCAACACTCGATTTTCATGACGACGTTGCTGCTGTTGCTCTTGTTGCCACTTTTGCCTTTGCGTTTCCACTGTTCGCTTGTTTTGGGGGCTTTTACGGCTTTTCTAGTTGCGGCTGTAATTCAATATGCGCCGCGTTTGTAGGTGTTGCCTCACACTCCCCTCCACCCACTGCCACAGTGAGGCAAACAGTGCAAGAACAGCACATTTTAACATTTTGGAAGCAACATGATAATAAGTAAAAGATTTAAATATGGTTTTTTAACCGCGAGTCGAGCTGAAGCCCGCCCTTATGGAACATTAAGTTCAAATATTACCCGGCTTTGCACAGGTCGCGCTATAAATATCAACAGCTGCGTAAGAGATAATTAAGCTTTGATCAGCCAATCCGTCAGTCAGTCAGGACAAGTATAAGTATTTATACAACATTTGTATCTTGAAATATTTCAAACATCAAAAATGAACATCAGCCCACTGTGCGAGCTGAGTATAATAGAACCTAAAAACTAGATACATATATGTTAAAAACAGTAACAGGATGACTTACAAAGCAAAAAAAAAAAAAAAAAAGAGTAGTAGAAATGCAGAAAACAATGCAAAAGACAAGTGTGTGTTGCGGAAAATCTACACAATTGTCAATGCACTTTTCCAACAACTATCGCTCCCTCTCTCTCTCTCTCTCTACGCCCCCTGCCACCCTCACAATGTCTCTTTCACTGGCGCTCAGAGTGTGCATTTCGAAAATCAATTGTGTATAAAACGTAACAATGACTGTCCAGGGCCACAGAATGTGTAAAGTCAAATGGAATATGCATGCCTAGCTAGCTGGTCCTGTCCAGTTGGTGTCCTGCCAGCCTGTGCTTGGCATGTTACGTGTCGTTTTTCACTTGGCCCGGCCACTGCAGGGGCTTCGCCCTGGGCCAACGACCGTACCGGTCCGATTGTAATGTCACGTCACGTCCTTAGGTTACAGGCTACGGAGAGGCAAAAGCAAATCAATGAACATGTCAACAATTCGAACGAGACATGCGGCTGTGTTTGCACTAGACATTAGGTGACAATTGCCAACTGATCCTCAATCAAAATGCTGAATCAAAACCGAATGCCGAATATTGAATACCCTGTCGATTTTGGCCATTTGGCAGTTGAGCCGACGGCGCTAGCAATTTGTGTTTGTTTAGGCAACAGTCGGCTGTCAACACAGCGCGGGCACGGCACCTAAGTAAACATAAGCAGTTCCTGCCATTCCGGCCAGAAGGAGCTGGGCACAAATTGGGCTGTTGTTGCTGCTGCTGCTGCTGCGGGCCGGGAAAAAAATTAGCGCAAATTATGCGCGGCTAATGCGAAAAGTAAACTCAAAAAACGCAACTGGAGCCGTGTGTCCTTGCCCCTGCCCCCTGCCATTGTTTCGTGGCCTGTGTCCTGTCTACTGTCTCCTGTTTGCTCTCTCCTGTTTGTCCAACCCTCTAAACGATTCGCACCAAATGCCTTGTGCAAATATAAAAAAGTCGACAATCATCGTTCATCTTCTACGCTTTTGTTTTTTTTCTTGTTTCTGGCACATTTGACATTAAAAATATGCCAAGGCTCTATCAGGCTTTTCTCTCTCACTTGCTCTCTCTCCCTCTCTCTCACACACACATACACTCTCTCCCTCTCTCTCTCTCTCTCTCTTGACTGTTTGTTACATTTCACATTTCTATTTGCATAGCGATTTTCTTTAGGAAAATCTATGAATTTGCTACGCACACGCGCTCACATATTCCACACCAGCTATACACCAACACACACTTGCATGCACACACACACTCACACACACACACACACACACATACATATACCAAATGAGGCAATCTGTTGGCTGTTTGTAATTTGTTTGTTTTATGGATTTGGCAACTTTGATTTTCGAGGGCGTCTTTCGGCTCGACATATGCTTAATTAAACAATTGCCACTGAGTCTTCCAAGTGCAAACATGACTTAAACCAGATAAATACACACACGCACGCACGAGGCGAAGGGAGCTTTTTCTTAACACACGCACACACGATCCGGGGCGTTGAGCCATTCAAAATCGAAGTCAATTTCGACTCCCAGCAGCAGCAGGTGTCAAGTCAGAGCAGTCAGCGGGTCAAGTTATCGACTTGATTTTATTATCCAAATAGAATTAAGATAATTCAAATGAATTCCAAGTAGACAATCGATATGAGTATGTCTCAAATAACTCGATTAAGGCGGATAGAAAACTGCTGACAATATGGCTTCAATTTCATGCACGCATTATAAGCTAAGCCCATTAAAAATCGTTAAACAGGGTATACAAGGTTTGTGCGAATGTATATAACTGGCGATTGGACACTCTAGGGAATACATTTATGGTCAATTACCACCAAGAACCGACTCCTTCTAGTCAAGTCCGTCTGTTTGTTTGGGGTCTCACAATTCAAGCAAATATGTTCAATAAGTCCTTGATCTTATTGATCTTAGCTTGTTTTCCTGAGCATATCTCAAAGATTATAAATACTAGACACCATAAATTCGGTACATAAGCTATCGTTTTGCATACATAGTTCAGGAATGTATGTTTTTTCATAGGGAAATCGATAAAAATATTTAGGCATGATTTTCATATGAACCAAATGTTAAAGATAATTTCCTCCTTGGCGGAAATGGGGCTCAAAAAATATTTGCCAAAAAATGTATAGATATATTTTGAAAATTATGAAGGTCGTTTTTTAAAGTAGGATAAAAGTTTTCTTTTTGTTGCGATTGTGCAAAAGGTTTGTTAATAACTTTAACTAATCATTTTGACAAATGGAATGATTAAGTGTTATATATTTTTGAAGAGGTCTTATAAGTTCCTAACTTTTATCCTAACTAAATATTTGGTATAAACGGGAAGATAGCCAAACATAAATCAAAAGCAGGTAGCTATTTTGAGCTATAGGCGCAGCTCATCTCCTTATGTAAAGACTCTATATACTCGATATACCAAATACTTGATTGTGATAAATGATTAAAAGATATATAATATTCATATTTGATGGTTGTCAAAAGCTACTCAAGACGATATGCAATTATGTTTTAGCTCACCTGTACTCTGGATTCAGGCAAATTGATCTTTAATGCGACCTCCTCGCGCATGAATATATCCGGATAACGTGTCTTGCCAAAGAGCGCCTCCAAAACATCGAGCTGGGCCCGTGTGAATGTTGTTCTCTCGCGACGCTGCTTTCTCGTGTTGACGCCTGCATAAATTGGTTATGTAAAAAAAAAAAGAGAAAAGAAAAACCAAATTACCTTCTAGTTGCGATAGCCAACAAAATGCCTAACCAAATGTGCTGAAAGTTGTTCGCTGTGGTTTGGGTGGCGTGTGCGGTGTTTGGGTTTCTTTTACACATTGCGCATACGCCGCGTGGGCCAACGGCAACTTTAATTAACATGTACACATGCCGCATACTTTTCCCAGTGTTTTTTTCCCATTTTTTTCTTTCCATTTGTTATTTTCGTTGATGTTGTTGCTGTTGCTTGCGCAGCAAACCGTTATTCTGAGCAACCCCTGGACAAAATGCCACCCCTAAAAAGTGCTTTGAGCTCTGAACCAACCCCGCACAGCAGCCAAAACTTCTACTATGTATATGTGTGAGTACTTGTGTGTGCGTGTGTATGAATGTGAGTGTGTGTATATAATGTACCACCAAACACTTTTATACATATGTAGTGCGTATATAAAAGTCGCTGTCTATGTGTGTGTGTGTGTGTGTGTGTGTGTGTGTGCTAAGCCGCGGCATTGTTTGTTTTTGCCGGGGCAGCCGTTGTCGGTGCGTGTCTGCTGTCGCTGCTGTCCCAAATATTCAGAGAGAGCACCCCTTTTTGGCCCGGGCATGCCGAAATGCCTTTTGAATGCAAACCCCCCGCCCCCTCCCTCAGAGGCTCTGCTCTGCAGACTACCCTGCATGTGCGTCGCTCTGCTCTAGCTGGCTATGCCCGTCTCTGTCTGGCTCTATCAAAAATTAATGAGTTAGTCATTTTGGTCATGAATTTTTAAATTGAATAAAAAACTTCATTTCACTTGGCTCGCGCGTTGTCGTCGTCGTCGTTGTCGTTGTCGTTGTCGTTGCCTTTGCAGCTGCCGCTTTTCGTTGTGGCCTTTTTTTTATTTTCATTTTTATTATTTTTGTTGCTTTCAAAATGGTCGCCGGAGCCGTTGTTGTTGTTGTTGCTTTAAAACAAAATTAATTGCAATTTGTAGTTTGCCTTTTGCCCGGCAACGCCAACAACAATTTTTTATTTATTTATATACCATATTTGGTTTCTTTTTTTATTTTTAATTTTTTTTTTTTTTTTTAATTTTTTTGTAGTGCCCAAAACCTTGGAGTCAATCTTTAAAGACTTGTTTAATTAACTGCACCTATTTAATTGGTTTATTTTTATATTTTGAATATATTTCTTTAAAAAAGTTTTTTGTTTTTGTTTTCCTGGAATTCGATTCTGCCGAAATGCGCGGCATAAATCTCAATAGTTAAAAGCCCAAGGCTAATCTTAGACGCTTAAGAAGTTTTAGCGGCTTATGAGTCAATATTTAGCCAGCATTTTTTTTTGAACCTAACCATTTTTGCCAATAAACTCTCTAATGCGGCGCCAACATATATGATAGATCTAGAAGTTTTGGATTTTCCACTTTTCAGCGAATTCAATTTAGATTCCTTCAAAACAGTTTGCATTTTATAGCCCCAGTTGACTTGAAAGATTTGAGTTGCTTTTCTAGTTTATTTATATATGGTTAAGATTTAGAAATATTGCCATATAAATATTATATTTTATGCGCTGTATTCACATTATGTCATATTATATCCATCTAGTCGCAACTCTTTAAGTGGTTTATCTTAGCTTCCATTTGAGTTGATATTCAAGTTTTTCTGCATAGCTAACATTTGCCACATTCAAAATATTTGGCTATGTAATAAATAATATGTTTGTATACTTTCTGCCTTTCAGCATTTTATGTCGCCCATAACACATAATATCTGGCTCTAATACCTTTACCCACTCTTTACTGCTCATTCTAAGCTGCAATTGTGCGCATTCTATGCCCACAAAATATGGGCTTATATAACTTGACAATATCATCAAGATATCAGTCATCGGACTCTGTTACAACTTGGCTTATTACAAGATCGAAGAAAAATATAAATTGATTACATGCGATTGTTTGTATTATTTTCGGTATTTCTGACTGTTAAGTACATATATATATTTTTTTTCTCTTTTTTGTTGGCCGTAAACTTTTTATTTATTGTATTTTATTTTATTTTTTTTTATTTTTTTTGATTTGCTTTTGGCATTTTGTAGCATTTTTGTCAGGTTTTTGTCATTTGCAGCGTCACCGAAATGAGACAAATAACTGGAACCCGAAAAAAAAAAAAACGCGACTCATGGGTTCCCAAGAGCTGAGATTCGACTTCGACTTCGACTTCGGCTTCGGCTTCGGCTCATTATTCATTTTGACAATTCAACTGATAATGATGCAATCGATGCGAAACGGCATTGAAAAGCATTTTGTGCGACAACTGGGCTGCACATCCATATGCCCCCAGCCCTGCCCTGCTCTGGCCCGTTGCAGTCAGGGCCGATTCAGTACCCATTCCGCATAAAGTTGGCCCAAATGTCATCTTGTGCATGCAAATTGAGTTATCAGCCAGCGCGGCGTCTGCTTATGCGACTCCATATATCATTTATCATTTAAATGGAGCTGAGGGATGAGGTGGAGCTTGTGGCTTGGCTACCCGCTTTCAACATTCAGCACATTTGTTCTTTTTCTTACTGGACTCTTACGTGTGTGTTTACCAAAATTGTATTGCGATATTTACCCCACATACCTTGGGAGAACCCAACAGCCTCCAGTCCGTGTGGCAGGCCGAAGGGACCCAAAGATGGCATTGGCATGCCCGGCGGCAGCGGTCCATGCGTCACCGAATGGTGCGGATGTGGCCCGCCATAGCTGTGCGGATGTGGGCCCAAATCACCCGATTTGAGAAAGCCCGCCGCCATTAAGGCTTCCGTTGAGTGCAGCGCCACGTTGATGCTGTTTATTATGTCCTTGGTGATGATCCTTCAATTGCCTAAATGTGACTTACTGAGCTGAGCTTTCACTGAGCTCTCAATGCCTTCGTCTGTGGCTGCTCCTCCTGCCTGTGGGCGTGGCAGTTGTCTCTATATAGCTTCAATGTTCAATTGTAGAACAGCTGCTTGGCGTTTGTTTCTGCAAGGATCAAGATTCAGATTGTTATAAAAATTATTGCTACAGATTAACCATTAACCATTAACACTTAGATATAAATGCCAAACTATCTATTCATGTCCGAGTATGATAGAATATGTTATATTATATAATAGTTGATACTTTAAGGTTGTCTAAAAGCAGAGCTTTTAATAGGCATTCCAAGATATACTAAATAGATCATTTGATTCATTTTATCTGCAATTTTAATGATCGGCGAATGTCTTTGTAGTTCTAAAGACTTTTCTTTTTATAATAATTGTTATTAATTATATTCTAAGGAATTTTCTTGCTAGTGCTTTGATTGGCATTTCATTAACGAAACCATTTTGGCTGGCATCTATGACTTTCGAATAGCCTGGAATGCTCGGGATGATCTTGATTAAACTGCCTAAATGACTGTGTGTGAATTAGAGATAGCAGAGTTATTCCTTGAATAGCTGTTTAGCCTGATATAATCATTCAGCATCCAGCACGAGCCGAAGTCGAATTCGAATGTTACAAAAGCTATGCATGAAATAGTCTATCTATAAGATGGCTAGAGTTGTCAGGACGGTTTAAAAAAGAAAGTTGAGACAATGATATATATTATTTAGATAAGTAAATTTAGGAAATTTTCCAATCTGCGCATCATATCACTTAATTTCTGGGCGTTGAGCACAGCAGCGTTGCCAGATTGGTCAGATTGGCCTGCGCCTGTGCCCGTGCCTCAATATCAATTTGGGCCAGATGTGTTATTAATTTGCGTGTGCGCGTGAGCATGTAATTTGGAACGCTCTTCCTTTTCTGTGCGTGCCTGTGTGCGTGTGTGTGTGTGTGTGTGTTGGGGTTCGGTTTCGGGTTCGCAGGGATTCGGGTGCGCTGTGTTCTCTGGCTCGAGTGGCTGTTGCGTTGTATTTGCGGCTTTGGTTTTTGGCTTTGCCGGTTTCCATTTCGCTTGCGTCCATTTTGCTGGATGCATTTGGATGCATTGAGCCATGAAAACGACATGACAAAACAAAACAAATTTGTTGTGTGTCCTCAGTGCAGGCTACTTAGTTAGCTGTGTGTGGATTTGTTTTTGGGTTGATGCTCGCATAGTATATGTTATATGCTTATCGATTTATATGTGACAAATAGCTGGCTGCATTTTTCAATTTCAAAACAATGAACGACCGCCGAGGTGTCCGTGCTAATCCCGCAATTTCACTGGGTCTCACTGCTCCGCTGCATGTCCCTATTCCCTATTTCTTCTGTCTCATTCCCACTTGGTTTTGTGGCTATTGCTAATTTTTTTCGCACGAAACAACCGAAAATTGAAAGATGAAAAAAGTGGGACAAAAGAGTTTTGAACTCGTCGCCGAGCATATGAGTATTAAGCCAGGTTCAGGTTGAGTTTGGTCCGGCCTAATCTTAATACCCAAGCCATTGTCTCATCATGCCCAGTGCTCATGTGTGTGTGTGTGTGTGTGTGTGTGTTCCTACCTCAGCTGTATACATCCCATTTCGTCCTTTTAGTAAGTGTCTGAGCTAATCCAGCGGCTAAGCACAGATCAAAGATCTTCAAACCGCAAGACAGCCCAAAAACTAGGCCTAGGCGGTCTCCGTTCCCGTTCCCATTCCCTTTGCCGTTCCCTTTCCCGACGAAGAACTGAACCTAAGGCGTTCTTACACAGTTGGGTAATCTTGCGATAGTACACTCTAAGTAAGGATCTAAGATCTGAGGCATGACAGGCAGAGATCTGCACGTAACTGCTTATTTTTTGGGTAAACTATGGAATAAATGCATTTTCCAACTAAGTGCGGAATGTTTATTTAAAACAAAAAATAAAAACTTGGCTTATGAAATATTATGTCAAATAATTTGTTCAAATATATTGAAGCCAATTAAGAACAAAACTAAATAAATTTAAGAATTTAGTTTCAAAAGGTTGAAAGAAACATAAAATATGGCTCTTGAGTATGTTCAACATGCGCTTTGCTGATCGATTTTTTATAGCTAGTGTATATATATTTTTTTGAGTGTATCATGCCTTGGTATTGAGTACCCCGCTAGCTGCCATGTGGCATGTGGGCTGTATCTATTTCTGTTTGAATTGTGTTTTTTGCCAAATGTGGCACATATAGGAAAAAAAGACAAAAACTAAAAATAAAATAAAAACGAAATAAAGAGCTACGTGATTTTCTACTCATTCGGCGCTGCTGATTATGAAAAATCATGGCAAAAAAAAAAAAAAAAGAAGAAAAAGAAAAAAAGAGCCAAAGGCCCCGCTGGCTTTTGTGACTGCGCCTCGGGGACTTGAAACGGGGGACACTCTGTGTGTCGCAGTGTGTTGTATGGACCCGAAATCATTTCGGCTCGACATATATCACGTACACGCACTTTCATTAAAAATTCATTTCGGTATTCGACATTCGACATTCTGCATTTTCACTTTCAGTTTCCGGGCAATGCGTAGGTTATTTTTTTCTCTTTTGACTCGGTTCCATCTTGTTTTTGGATTACCTTTCGAATTTGGTTGCTATCCTGATGCTGTCATGTGTTTGGCTTATGATTCTTGTAATGTATATTTTTTCCGCCTGCTCTCTTGCTCGTAATTACGGTCAAAATAATATTTTCAAACTACTGATAAGTGGGCAGACAGCGGCGATCCGAAGGTAAACAGCCTTAGGAAAATAAACAAATCGAACGCTACCGAATCTTCCAACTGATTGACTGACTGACTGACTGGCTGACTGACTGACTGACTGGCTGACTGGCGGACAGACTGTCCGATTGAGCCAGTGACTAACTGAACATTGGACAATTGGACCAGCGCCCGCACTTTAAGATCGTTGGACAACTACCGAAACGGTAGCCCTAGAAGACCGTGTGTTTTATGGAGTTGACTGGCCATCCGACTGTTATTTTTATCTTGCCTCGTTTTTTTTTTCTGATGGTACCCTGGGAAAGTGTGTAACCAAGTTTTGTGATCGTTGTTGGCTCTGGCTACTGTTAATTTGTGCCATGGGAATATTTTTGTGTCTTCGACAGTTTCAAGTTGATCATTTAATTTTTGTTTTTTTTTTTGGCAAGTTTTGTTTTTGGCCAGTTTGGCCAAATGATTAATGATGGCGGCTATTCGAACGTTGTACAATATTTGTGGCATTCAAATGTTGTCTTAAGCGTAGCATTGAGTGTGTTTTAGAAAGCGAAAGATGAGCAACAAATGCAGCCAAGTTCAAAGTCTATAAAAATGACTTAGGCCTTCCACTCCCTCCCGTCGTCGTTCTATTGCCACAGGCATGCGAAAGCCAAGTGTATTGTGCAACACTGGCCAAAGCCAGCGGCGAATCGCCTCAGATACTGCCAGTCGCAGTCGCGAGTGCAACCAGCTGTCAAAAGTGCTCACTTGTCATAGTCGCCACTCGCTTAGTTGTTGCAGTTGCAGTTGCAGCGGCTATTAGCAGCCTTAACAAGCTCTATAACAACTTAATATGTCCAGGCGTGTGTTTACAGTGCACTACACGCCGCAACACAAATGCTGTTCGTATATCGCAAAGCGCAAATCGCAAATCGCAAATCGCAAATCGCATATTACATATTGCATTTGTATGTGTGAGCTTTTTGAAGCTGCAGCCAAATGCAAGCGAACGAGCCGAGAGCTTTCCACGTGCGTATAGTGTGCATGTGAAAGCTTAGCTTAGCTATTATATTAGAGCCAAAGATACGTGTGTGCGATTTGTGTAGAAGAGCTGTCAACCAAATGTTGCAACTTTCTAACGTTTGCAGCCCAGTGTAGAAGTTTGAATAACTCGAATGCTTATGGCCGACGCGGCAAATATTTCTCAGGCTAATTTACATAGCGAGCAGCTACTGGAATACAAGCTACATGCAGTTCGGACTGTAACTGGAAGTTAAACTTCATCTCATAGTCAGACTGGGACTGAGACTGGGACTGAGACTGTGACTGGGACTGAGACTGGGACTGAGTCTGGGACTGGGACTAAGACTGGCCTAGCATAATAAGCTGTCTGTTGAAAATAATGCAACTTAATAAACGCAACAAAGAACTCGAGGCGGCTAAGGTGGCACGTCCCAAGCTGCCACATTGCAAGTTGGCAACTGGAAACGGGCAACTCAGAGACTGGAACTGCAACTGGTAGCCAGTTTTAGAGCATGTGCCATTTCTACGCAAATGCATTTTGACATTTAAATTTGCAATTTTCGCATAAAATTATATTTATTTTTCATTGGGGAAAATGCAACCTTGCCGCAGCAACTGTTGCTGCTGCTGCTGCTGCTGCTGCTGCTGCTGATGATGTTGTTGATGTTGATGCTGATGCTGATTCCAGCTACCTGACTCTGCGCTCTGACTGCACTGAGTGACATACGTGACGTTGACGTTGCTGAAGTTTAATTAACAAACGTGCCAAATAATTGAAAAAGTGTGAAGATTTGACAAGTTTAATACGCATTCAAAATGGGCACATGGCCTAGAAACCGCTAACTAAACACCGACTTGAGGCTCTGGCGACAACTCAACTTAATTAGTTTTTTTTTTTTTTTTTTTGCAACAGTTTCTCATTTTGTTAATCATATGCATTACACATTTAATTAAATTGACACATGAGCACGCTGAAAATACCATATACATATAAAAAATGAATAGACGTACAGTTAGCATTTTAATCATACATTGGCCAATGATAAATTGGCCAAGAGTTGGCCAAGTGTTGAGTTAAAAAACGGCTGACAAACGGCTAAGCAAGTTGACTTCTAATGCACACTCACACACGCACATGCACATGTACACAGGCATGGCAAGTGCAATAGTATTGGTGCGCTTACATTGTAGGCAACCGCACTCACACATGAAAGCGAGCGCTAGAATTAACCGTTGCGATGAGTGTTGTAAAATGCAAATTACACTTGCAATGCTTTTTTTTATGTTTTAATTACCGAGCAAATTGGCGAACCGGCGTATCAATTGATCAATTAACGATTTGACATGACCGAGTTGCCCGAGCTGAACTTTGTGTTGCTCTTTCTCAAAACTGGAGACACACTTCAGATCCGCCTAGAAGGATGATTGTGCTGTGCTGTGCGCATTTTGGGCCCATTCAAGAGTGTAAAAATAAAACACAATCAAAACAAGAAATGACAGAAAAATTATTGAAATATTGTGACAAGGAGTTTGTGAGTGCGCGCGTGTGTGTGTGCGTGTGTGTGGACGAATGAATGAATGAATGTTGCCTTCAATTCGGACTTGGCTCGTACAAATGATTGCATCATAGTAAAAATAAATCAAACAAATCACACAGAAACACAAATCAATAATAATAACGCGGTAAGGTAATAGAGTAAAGAGCCCTGACTGGGCACAGAGACAACAACAACAACGACAACAACAACAACAATAACAACAACAACAAAAGTTATTATTTGACGCATTGTCAATGTGATCTTGATAACTGCCCGGCTCGGCATGGTATGGTTAGGTTCGGTCTGGCCTGGTCTGGGTACCTCTGAGTGATTTCTATTTAAATGGCTTTGTCAACGAAATTCGAGAAGCAAAAAAAAAAAAAAACAACAACTAAAAAGTTCGGGTACAGCCGCGTAATGAGCAAAGAGTGAAGAGAGATAAAAATTAATAATACAAATAATTGAAAGAAGAAAAAAAAGATCAGAGAAAAAATATATATAAATATGAAGAAAAGAAGTCAATCGAAATGAAATCAAACCTCACTTAAGGCAAGGCGAGGCGACGCCAAGGCGTCACAAATTGACAAAGACTTGATTCCGTATTGGAACCCCGCCCCCGCCGCCGCCACCGCCCCCGCTCCCGCCTCAGCCCAGATCTCAGTGAGTGTAGGCACAGACATTGGGCGTGCGTCGATGTATCTATGCTAAACAATTGAAAACTCTGGCTGGAAGCTTTGGCTCTCCCAGATAAGTTATCAGAATGTCGCGACGCGATCTTGACTTGAATTCAATTCATGAATTGAAAACGGACCAAGTAACGGATGTGGATATGGATATGGATATGGATGTGGATGTGGATTGTGGATATGAATGAACTGGCTGACTTGAATTAAAGTTGTGTTAGCCCTATTTGTTGTCGTTGTTGCCACGGCGTGGGCGTACATTGGAGCTTTGGGGGGTTTTATGCTATGCTCAGCTTAGTGAATCTCGCTGGTGTCCGTCTGTCCGTCTGTTTGTCTGTCCATCAGTCCGTCTGTCCGTCTGTTGTCAGTCGGTTGCCAGCTGGCTTGGCTACAAACAAATTGCCTTGCATATTAATTTTGAACAGCAAAACATACAGAAAACCATACAGAAACATCCATATACATATCTATGCAAATTAATAATAATACAAAAAGCCGCGATGAGCCACAAAAATATTAAATGTGTATTTGTATACCCTATACCAAAAGATATACAGACATGCACAGAAAATACGCTCGATGTTTTAATTTATCGCCCAGCCGCTTCGAAATTAGCTAATAAAGCGCGGCGGCTACAACAACAACCACTCAGAAGAAAAAAAAAAATAAATAAATAAAACTAAACAAAAAAAAAAAAACAAAATAACCAAAAACTTATCAAAATGTGTGAATAATGTGACCTGAACCGGGTCTGTCGGGCAACGCTTAAGTTCGGCATAGTTTTTTTTTTTTTTTTTTTTGTATATCTCGGGTCCATTGTGCGCTCTGCACAGTAGTTTTGGGGTTCAGGTAGCCCGCAGCATATGATTATGGATATGCATAGTTATAGTATCTTAGTTAGTTGGTTGCTTATGTTTAGCTGCTGGCCCTTGGCTTTGTTGTTGGGCATCGATTGTTGCGCCCTTTTGCCTAATTAACAAACAGTCCAAAAGGGGCGGCTTTAATATGCCCATTAAAATTATGAAAATTCATTTTGATTTCAATGCGATCTCAACCTTATGCAGCATTCGACTGGGGAAGTTACTCATCTTCGAGTTTCCTGTATAGCTGCTGCACAGATTTTGGCTGCTTCTTCTTCAATTCGTTTAGTTGGAGCTTAGCCGCGACTAGCTACTTGCTGTAACCAGTAGTATATATTAACTGCTGTGGTCAAGCATTATGCTATGCTATAAGTATATATACCTTCTATATAGCTCAGAAAGTCTGCTAAAAGAGTTTTCTATGTGATTTATGCTATTTCCATGGCATTTTCTACTATTTTCCCTGTTTTCATTTTACAAAATCGTATTCCCAGTAAAAGTAAGATCTAGATATTTTATGGGATTTACAAGAATTGAAGAACCAAACTAATATTCTGACTTAATAATTTCTTACAATACCCATAGAAATTTATATTGTTTTTTTCTTTTAAACTAGACGAGCATACAATTTTACAAATAAGTCATATATGAAATAGCCTGGTTATCAATTTCAGATTCAGTTGCAAGTTCAAAGTTAGGCCCGACGGCAAATAGCCAGTGTTGGAAACGAAATCTTGAATGCATACTTGTATATCTCTTGCTATCTCTAACATAACTATATAATGCTTTAAAGATCTATACAGATCATTCCTATATAACCAGCTCATTGTTCCAAAGTTCAGCGGCCCAAAGAGTTGGGTAAGAGTTGGGTATCGCCACAATAGGCCTGGAAACCCCTATATCATCTAGATGATGGGCATAATCCTTGATTGGCGCGTTGTCGGCGTCATTTGGTTAGTTCATTAAAATAATAATTATTCGACTTTTCATCAATATTTATATATACATATGTATTTATAGATGGTTTTGTATAGTTGCAAAAACGCATCTGGAAACAGCACTCACCAAAAAAAAAAAACCAATATCGGATAACTTGTGCGATGCTCGATGCAGCCAATGTCGGCGGCGTACGGATATTCCAAACGAGCGAACGGGTGAAAAGAACACGTTTTTAGGATATCGGATATGTTGATAAGTATTATTATATAGATCCAATTGTTTGCGTTTATCGATGCCTGGCCGAATAATATAGTATGATCTATATTCGATATTCAGTTATTGTGATAGTTGAGTTTTTGTTTGTTTGTTATGGCCAGGTTAAGGATAATACACTTGCGGCAGACACCAAAAAAAACAATGCACACTGCTTGGGATGAGCGTAGTATCTTAAAGAACTTTTGCTAACGGTTGTACTAGTTGCTGTTGCGGTTGTTGTTACAGTTGTCGTTGTGGTTATAATTGTTGTTGCACACGCACGTTGTTCAAATGTTTGTTGTTGAGTGTTGGCTGGATTTTTGCATATAACATTTGCGACCTCTGTTTTGATATCGAATTTGTTGTTTGTTTTTTTTGTTTGTGTGTGTGCTTGCGTGCGTGCGTGACACGGCGATCAAGAGACGCGGCGAAATATAACGGTGAACGGTAAACGATGAAACGCTATGGACCAACAACAAAACGAGCGAGCGGAGCGACGAACGCACAACCCGAGCGGCACGAATGTTACTTTGGAACTGATTTTCGTCGTGACACCTTCAATGCGAGCAGCAGCAGCAGCGTTAACAGCGGCTATAGCGGCAGCGACAGCGGCAGCAGAAGTCGTTCGACCAGTCCCGTTCGTTGTTGTTGTTGTCGTCGCTGCCGCTGCCGTTGCCGTTGCCTCTGCTCTGGTCGTCGTATATCGTCGTCAATCGTCAGCCACAACAACAACAACAACAACAACAACAACAAAGGTCCAAGCAACTTCCTTTTTCCACGCACGCACACACTCACACACACGCACGCACACACGTCAAATGTGAGCGAGAGCGCACTGCTTCAGCAATGGCTGAAAGTTAAAGCAATCGAAGCACAGCGTATGATAAAGCGAGATGGCAACATTGTTTGCGGCAGCAACTGCCTGGCTGGTTGGCAGCATATATTTATAGACGCTGGCAGTGGCCTTACTTGTGTCTCGCTCACACAAGCGCGCTAGCGTCGACAGTGTGAACGAGTGCGCTGCTCTTGGGCAGCTGTATTTACCTATGTGTTGTTGCTGTCTTGTGTGCTTTTGCCGAACCACACCCCCAAAAACAATGAAAATTGCTGATGGTGTTGTTGCTGCTGTTGCTGGCTGTCGCTTCTTCGCACTCGGTTCAACAGCCAAGCAGTACGCCAACTTTGCTTTTTTTTTATTTCATTTTTTCATTCTTCTTGTTTTTGCACAAATTGTTTGATTCGCCTTAGTTGTTGCTGCTGCTGTTGTTGTTGTTGCTGTTGTTGCTGTTGTTGCTGTGTTTTGCGCGCGCAATGAAATTTTAATGAAAATGACAGCCCAAACACACGCAAAACTCAGCTACTAAAGCAACGCCAAAATTGTTAGTTAGCAGGAATAAAAATAAATAATAAAATAAAATAAACAACAAGAAAAAAATAATAGTAAAGAAAATAAAAACGAAAAGACGTGCGGGGGGCTGTGAGGCGCAGGGCGATGGTTAGCATGAAATACACCAACACAGTCACAGCAACAGCAACAGCAACAGCAGCAGCAGCAGTAGCTGCCATCGTCAGAGCCAAAATAGCTATGCACAGGGAGCAGCAATAACGCTGATGGAGTCAGATATTTAGACGCAAAGTGTGCGCCCTTACCGCCCACACAATTCAAGGCTGGCCTGCACTCGCAGAATCATTCACAATTGCGTCTGGCTTGAGGATGCGTAAGTGGTTTCTTAGTTACATGTACGAGATTCATGCACCAAAATGTGACTGGATGCTGCAGTTTATCACACTCTTCTTTCAAGATTATTGAAGAGGATATCTTTGATTTTTTTTTAACCCAAGCAGTGCAAGTGCAAGACCCTAGACAAATAAGATGCACTGATAACAATTATTCAAAGAGTATATTGCGTTATGCATAGGAATAATTATATGAAAAGTCAAGTTATGTAATTGGTGATAATTATTTAATTAACTGTAAATATTTATATAAAATTAGCAATTTCTTAATACTTTATATCGAATATTATAAGTACGTTAGCTTACGATTTCATAAGAATATCGAGTATTAATAATCACTCCAATTATAATTCCGAAATTCATTTCTTAAAACACGACTCCGACTCTAGTGTATATGATAGTTAGCCTACGCACAGCTACAACAACAATAACAACGACAACAACAACAAGGACAACAAGAACAACAACAAAATGGTTGACATGTCCCCTCGTTCACCGAGTGGAAAAAAACAAGTAGGGAAAACCTTATCAAATTTTCATGAAAATTGGAAATAGCTGACGACAGTTTTTTTCGTTTCACACACACACACACACGCACACTCGCACACACTCGTAACATAAACGAAAGTTGTGTAAACTTTTTTTTATGGATTTCTCTTGTAAATTTTCTCATTTGACCGCACTCGAAATTAAATTTTTGCGGCTAATTGATGTCTATATCGAACATACCGTAATAATACATACAACCGCCCACCCCCTTCTCCACCCCCCCCCCCCCCCCCCTCTCTCTCTCTCTCTCTTTCTCTTTCTGAGGTCATTTAAATTACAGTCCTGGCAGCTTAACGCACAGTTTTTGGGTCCTTGGAAAAATAATGCTAAACCTAGAACGGAATTTTGATTGCATATTCAAAGATAGCCCATGTACATTTTTAAGTCAGAATAGAACAATATATATATATATTAATGGCTGCTGCTTGTTCTAATATTATTACTTACATAATTATCGGACAAATCAACTGAAATTGTTAATATATTTATTTAGTCAACCTAATGTTACACATAATGCCCAGAGCTTAAGGGTCTCGACTCAACAAATTGTACACGAGCATAATCTGTTTATCCTTAATAGAATCAGAACCAGAGCATGCTTATATATAAGCATTATATATATATATATAAGGCTGAACTTACTGTGCTGATCAAAATCTAAAGCCAAAAATTGTTATTCAGAGAAAACATTTTATTTTGTATTTATTAGATTCTTTAGTCTGCAGTAAGAAACTGTGGGAATAGAAAAATAAATTTTTATTCATATAGTTTTAATGAAGAAACATTTTATAAATGAGGCTTTAATATTTCTTTAATTCCTTAGACTGCCCTTGAGAACCATTTAATGAAACGATTTTATATCTTTTTAATCGTTAAATTTGCAATAAAATAATAATTATATTATATACAGAAATACTATAAGCTAAAAATATGTTTACATACACTCGATTCTTTAGTTTACACTGAATAATTAGATAGATAGAAAACGTTTAATACAAACACTATTACATGCATAGGAAAATTTAAAGAAATTGCTTTTATGTAATTTTGTATTCTTTAGCTTGGACTAAAAAAACAAAACAATCAATATAAGAAGTTTTAAATGGAAACAATTCATTTATATATATTTAATTCTTAAGTCTGCACTTAAAAAACATTAAAAAATGAGAAAAAAAAAAAAACAAAATGAAAGCTGTAAATTTAGTGAGAACAAAATAAAGTAACTGACAGATACACACGAGCACACGGCGCCGCAGCTGGCTACCTGTGCATAAATTTGTATCTGTATTTATGTGTGTGATATATTTTAACTACAGTTTTGCAAAGTGCGGCTTAAAAACAAACAACTATTTTCTTTCCACATTTATTTTGCACCCGAAAATAGAAAATGTGCACAGCACGTATAAAAAATATAATAATAAAATAAGAACATGAAAGGCTAAAAATAAAATAGAACCAACATCTAGAGCTTGTGTGGGTGTATGCAGAGTGTGTGCGGGCATGTGAGTGTGTGTGTGTGTGTGTGTGTCTTTGTTGTTGTTGTTGCATGTATACAGGGTTCGACGCCATTGCCCTGCACATATTTCATAGGCGACAGTTTTGATTGCTCGAAAGAAACGCGACGCTGAGAATGGAGAATATGGGCAAGGTGGAGATTTGCCATGCGTATGTGTTTGAGTGTGTGTGCGTGTGTGTGGGTGTTTAGCTACTGAACAACAAAAACAACAACAACAACAACAACGAAAACAGCAACAACTTTTACCCGCTGCAACTTCGACTGGACATGGACTTCAACTTCGCCATTCGCCTGAGCGCTGATTAACGACAATTCGTTTGCCTGATTTTTTATTACCGCATGCAGCATGCCACTGCATGTTGCTGCTGTTGCTGCTGTTGCTGTTGTTGCTGTTGCACATTCATTAGGTGCTGTCGTAGGCGCGTGTCCAGACTCCAGTTGCAAGTCTTGGGCCAGTAAATTTCATTAGCGCCTGAGCCGTTGTCTTTTATTGTCTGAAGCGAGGCTGCCCCCACAAAGGGGGCGACTACGTGTAGTGGGGCGATGGGGGCGTGGCATAAATATCATGATTAAATTGCATATAACAAGCAGCAATAGCAGCAGCAGCAGCGAAAAGTTTAAAATGTGTGACAACTACAAATGTCGCGAATGCCGTCAATTGGCCAGACCTGGCGTATACGTAATATGTTATTTGCTATCTATTGACACAGATTTACCGATGGCAACTCTTCGCATGATGATTGCAAAGCGTGGAAAAAGGAAAGTCCAAGCCAATACGTTGATTAATCTCATGTTACTTGGAATGTCAATGTTTTTATCTAGCAAATAGACAATCCTTAAACTCTTTTCAAACAAGAGACTGTTGGCTTGACGCTGAGTAGAAGTCATAAATAAAAAATGAAAAAAAACAAATTAATAATGAAAAAATACGAGCAATTAACTGGCTGCTTTCTCAGCTGATTAATACGTGGAATGGAAATATCTAATAAAACTGATCTTAAATATAAGTACTTTCATTCGAGTTGCAAGTCCCATAAAAGTCGGCGCATTGGTTTAAGTTTGATAGTTTAATGTGAACTAAACAAATATGCCTCACAAATATGCCTCAGCTGTGGCAACTGGCGTAATTAGAGGTTCGGTTCAGGGCAACTATTGTATTGGAATTCGGGCTTCTAACCGATTCTGGAAGTTGTGCAATAAATTCTTGTGCAATCAATTTTTTGCTGATTTTACACCTATTTAGAAATGTGCTGAATATTAGATCAACGCCTAAACAGATTTTTAAGACTCAGCTGTAATGAAATATTATATTCTAAGCGACAATTGAGACTTGACAGAAGAAAAAAAAACGGAACATTGTTAAATGATAATTTTACTAAAAAAGGGAATGCCTAACCACGAATATTTAATTAACAACTGTTAAGACCTCTGGGCAATGCCTTAAGGCAGCAGCTTGAATGGAAATGCGCGGCGCAAGTGGAAACCAGAAAATGTGGAAATTCAGGCGACGTCTTGCTAAACGGCAAGTGGAAATTTGGTCGAGGGATTCGTGTTCGTTCATTAAAAGGCAGCAGCTCGAACAAATGGTACAAAAGGATCAATGCAGCTGGTGCAAGCGGGCGGGCCGAGCGGGTCGAGCGGGCCGAGCGGGCGGTCGCAGCGGGCAATACGGCGAGAGGCAAAAGCCTGGCTCAGAACAGAGGGACCACCGTCGTGCGTTCGTGATGATGATAATGGTTTACTTTTATATTTTGTGATGGTTTTATGATGCGGTTAAGC